CAAAGAAACGATGAGGAAATGTCACCTTTTTAGCGGTATGTCTGTGTAATCGACTTTCTCCCCAATAAAGCGCCTTTTGTCTTTTCCCATTCGGCAATATTATTTCACGACCATTAAATTCGACGAGAATACGTTTTAATAAAACGGTGGAGCGGCACTTATTTATACGAGCGGCACATGACTACACGATTTTATCGATGCGGTCGATTTGAAATGCAAAATGTATAATGCATGCCATAGAAAACGCCAAATGAGTTCTATTTTATTGCGCGGGACGTAAAATTTGGTTACAATTTAAAATGATCCGTTTAAACGAGGAACCACAAGGAAGGATTCTATCAAGCCGAATCAATTCGTAAACTACACTGCTTATTGAATTTGGTGATCGATCATCCCATTCCAAAGAAACGATGAGGAAATGTCACCTTTTTAGCGGTATGTCTGTGTAATCGACTTTCTCCCCAATAAAGCGCCTTTTGTCTTTTCCCATTCGGCAATATTATTTCACGACCATTAAATTCGACGAGAATACGTTTTAATAAAACGTGGAGCGGCACTTATTTATACGAGCGGCACATGACTACACGATTTTATCGATGCGGTCGATTTGAAATGCAAAATGTATAATGCATGCCATAGAAAACGCCAAATGAGTTCTATTTTATTGCGCGGGACGTAAAATTTGGTTACAATTTAAAATGATCCGTTTAAACGAGGGTTCTCTTTTTATGAAAACTGACGTTCTGAATTTACTTGACGAAGCAAATGTACCCCCCTCCATTCTAAAGAGATATTTACAACTTAACAGATGAAAACTGAAAAGACTAATTGAAATGTTTTTTTAACATAAATGATATAGTACCGAGGGAGTAAAGATAAGGTCACCGGACTTCACAACTTTTTCATAGACTCTATTACGAGGTCCTTAACTAACAACAAAAGTTATATATAACCATTTATTGTATTACTAGGTAGCATTTCGGCGCTTCATTTTCATTTTAGACATATGTGAAACGAGAGATTGCGTAAACTGAATTTTACCAGCTCTTTTGCTTTCCGACACTTTCCGTATTTGTTTTCTATTTTATAATTTCTCGAAAAGCTATTAACTATTGTCTGTATAACGTTTCTGGTAGAATTCAGCGTCTCGCAAAGGATAAGTACGAGGTCGAGTCCAAAAGGTATCGGCGCTTCTGTTTAACACCATATATGTTATTTGTAATTTATCTCAATCTTTGTATGGGAATTTTTGATAGTTTTATGCCAAATAAAATATAAAAAAAATCTTCACTGATCACCTTGTAGAATTTTGGATTTGATATTGATTGAGAATTATATTTCGTCTTCGTCTCGTAAACAAGATACCACGAATTTTAAAACAAAACGAAGCGCCATGTGGATCTCGACGGCCCGCAGGTCCTATGATTCAGTTTTTTGCTTATGGGGGCAAATGTGATCCGATGGATAAAGGTAGTCAGTCATTTATGATACTGTCCTTTTTTGACCCACATCTATAAACTGCTTATGGTAGCAGATTTGCTTATGGTGCAAATTGACTTTTTTTGCTTTACCTCGTGACATACTGCTTATGGCGGCAGCTTTTTGCTTACAAGAGCAAATATGGTTTTATGACAAGAAGAGTTACCCTCATCTATAAACTACTTATAGTAGCAGATTTGCTTATGGTAGCAGTTTTTTGCTTATGCTAGCAAATGTGGTGACAAATGCTATGGGATGGATAAAGGCAACCATTTATGATTCTGTCCTTTTTTGACCCGCCGTTATAAACTTACCTACTGCTGAAGGTAGCAAATGCGCTAGCAAATGTCCGGTGATGCCATTTTTTATTTTTTATATTTTTTTATACTTTTTTTTAGGACAAGAAGGATTACCCTCATCTACTACTTATAGTAGCAGATTTGTTTATGGTAGCACTTTTTTGGTTATGCTAGCAAATGTGGTTGCAAAGGTCCAGTGTTTAGTTTTGGTTGTTATAATAAGAATGGTTAACAACAGCGTCTGCAGTTTTTTTTCTTTTATTTTGTAGTAGCAAATGTGCTGGCAAATGTCAAAACCGCATGGTCATGGGCTAGTGATGCAAGTAGACTGCTTTTCGACGTCCATCATAAACACTGAATCATTCGGCGGGACTTGCTAGTTTTAAATCGTCGTAAAGATTTAAAGGATAGGTTGAATAATGCAACTACTGCTTATTGGTATTGATTTTGTTCAACGCATTAAGGCTAGCAAGGGCATTAAGAAAACTGCTTTGAACCTTAGGTCCCCTAATTTTCCCAAAAAACCCTTTACCTTTATCTTACCACAAACTTGCGTCGTCCACCTCGTCAACCTCCTAGGGGAGTCAGTCGAGGTGAAGGTCAGAGCGGAGCTATGGACTTGCCGCAGCACAAACAGGCAAAATCAATGGAGCTCGCTCACACAGGAACATCGAATATAGCAGCAGCTGTTTCATGAGTTTTTCTTGTGGGATTCTCCGGGCTTATTATATTCTGCATTTTAAAGCCATTCATTTTAATAACATTCATATAGTCCCTAGTTGAATCAGATTCACCAATTAGGTTCAAATTTATGTCTCCTACAATATTGCATTGTGATTTTAGAGCGTCCATAATTTCTTGTATAAAAGTTACGGTTTGGTTTTTAGGTGGCCTATAGATAGTAATGATTGTAGAGTCACCTTGAACACAGTCATACAGTACAGTCATTTTTTTTCCATTTCTGGAATAGTGGTTTGTTCATATTCCGATATTAAAATATGATATCTCATTTTAATTACAACCAGGTTTCTATGAGAGCAGTTATGTATATTTCTTTTTCATGCTTATTTATTATTTCTATTAGATCGTTTTCTTTAATTTTTAAGCTTCTTATATTTATATATAGAATGTTAAATTTTATAGCCATTTCAATATCTTAAACTTTTTTTTATTTACACATATATTCATGAGATTTCCTTCAGATCTTATGTGACTAAGTTTATCATTAACGGAAGATAAAGATTTCTGAATAGTAATTGATTAATAGCTTTAAGGTCTTCGTTAAAAAATATGTTTCCATTTTTTCCTTCCAATCCATATTCCTTTTATTTCTTTGATTTTTTGTTATAAATTTCTGTTTTTGTGTTCTGTTCAGGCAATTTCACAAAGATAAGGAGATCTTTTTTCTGTTTAATTCTCTAGCAATCTGTAATTTTATATTCAGATATATTCAGCTTCATGGTTTAAAGAACTAGATGTATACCTTGTTTTGTGTTCTCATTTTGTTGGCTTGATATATCTGTAACAATCATGATATTTTGTCGATCTTGTTCTCGCATGGTAAATTTTTGTTCTAAAACATCTATCCTCTGATTCAACACAATGTTTTAGTCTCCAAGTAATTTTACCTTCTCCAAAATGTTTGTCTGATGCTTTCTTTTGATCTTCAAATAAATCTGACAAGTATTGTACCGAGGTTTTCAGTTCATGCAGTACATCCCGGGAGGGTTTCAGTGTTTCATTTATAATAAGTTTCACTATTTTTTAGCTTGTCTTCTTCCCAGTTCCCCACTTCTAGAATTTTGTCTTCTCTATCCTCACTTTTATCGCGTGTAATTGGGCAGCAAATCAGTTTGTTGCATTTGTTCATAAATTAGGCTTGTACTGCACAACTAGGGTAATAGTAGGAGTTACAGACATCACATCCTACTGGTGAGCTGACTTTTTCTTGCAGTGTTTGCAAGTTTTCTCCATTTTCTTCTGTTCAAAAAATTTGTTGTTTACATTAACTTAACTTAAATATATTCATTAAAAAAAAATAAATGGGTCCCATAATTTTTTTAGCCTTATATTAACTCAAAAATGAAAAGAACTAAATAGGGAAATCCCAGGGGAAAGTCCATAAAAAAAGCAGCACATATCACGCATCTTTCTATTTTTAGAGATAAGTGCAGAGTAGAATTATATATAAGGTGGTAGTTTAAGTATATATCCCCATAAATAATAACCCGGAAGCAGGCAATCAATTCGCCTGAAATTTAACGAGGGACAATAAAATATTTTCGCAATGTCGAGAGGCGCTCATGTGGGTTAGAAAATAAACCGAGTTCTGGAGAGCGATCCGATTCGACAGGCCTGAAATTAATAATCGAAACGAATGGCGGCAGATGACGGGTGTGTATATTTCAGTGTTTATTTCACATTCTAATTTTCTATTTCTCCAGCAATACGGATTTACGACACGAGAAACAGGTTTATTTTTAAAACTCGATACCTAGTCGTCGAAACATATTACTGCGGGCGAGGCAACTATTTCGAACATGGGCGGGTAAAACGACAACGATAAAAACTTTTTTTTTGCTTCAGCAGTGCACAACTGTTTAAGTGATACGTCCGCAATAGCCGCTCAACGGCGCGATGCGTAGGTGATTTTGGTCAATCATACACCAATCGAAGCGAAGAAAAATTACGATGACTAGTCAGCGGGTTTTTTGTGGTTATGTTGAAAAACAACTGTGCTAATTGGGTCCTACTTCATAAATTATTAAGTGAGGAAAGTAAAAAATGGCAATTTCCTCCGCACACTATCTTAGAGAACGAGGAACTGTTATTACCCTGTTTAATGATTACCTGCAACAGTTATACACGGCTGAACAAGGCCAACGATATAAAAGAGAAGGACGCCATTACATTTTCCACGTTTGTTTCGGGAAACTTTGAGATCAGATATCGGCCTTTCATATTGAGTCTTATATTTATTAATTAATTAATATTAATCTTATTGATCTTTCCAAATCCGCACGCCTATGCCTTCGCAGCACCAGTAATACGTAATAAAGTTACACTTAATTCAAGTTCCAGCTCAAATATAATATGCTGGAATACTGGGATTTTATAAATATCACAAAACCCTGTTGTTTGGGATTCTGAGGCCATATGAAAAACAATAAATTCTGTGATTTAAAATCAATTTCAAACAAACACAACACGCCAGGGACTTACCTGATATAAATAATTGACCCATTATTCAATAGTCTTTTCCAACCATAGGGCACAGTAACATATTGTCCCGAGTTACTAACTGCATTGCTGGCCTGAGAGTGTTGGGGGAGAGAGGGAGGTCCCACTGCCACCATAACATTCCCAGTCCGAACACTGATACTCGGATCATAGACAACCATATCGGGCGACTGGTTGTTCACTTCATCCGCAGAACTCAAACTACTACAACTCGATTCGGCAGTCTCGGACCGCACTGAATCACATCGCACACTTTGTGTCTGCACCTCAGAACCGTAAATGTAAGAGTCTGCATACCGTTCACACTCATTGCCGCTCACCTTAACATTTTCTGGTCGTCCAGGTCCTGCCTGGATCTTTTCACATGGCTGCAACTCGGTGTTTGGATAACTTTTATTAAGGGCACCATTCTGATAGCCTGGGTTAAACCCGTTTTGAGATATCACATTGGCAAAGTAACTCCCCTGATTGGCATTAACTACTTGTTCACTGGCAGCATACATCTGCTTATCGGAGTAGGGTTTCTGGCTAGCCATGGAGGCCATGGTATGGTTCTCGTTTGGGTATCCAGTCGCGTGAACATTACCCTGTTGCTGAACATTGTGCTGTTGGTCGATGGCATAAGCTTGACCAAAATTTTCATTAGAAACGTATACCACTACATTTTGGACACCGGTTGTTGCGGCTAAATCAGGCTTTTCTGCCATTGTAGCTGCATATCAACGGCCCCTTCTCTTGGCTTCCTGTTATACTAAAGTCGTCCTACAACAAAATACGAAAAATAAACTCTAAACACTAATAACAACTTGCAAAATAAATAAATACGAGCCGACTTTCACCAAATCATTAATTTATATAGTCTTATTTCATTCCCAATACAACAATAAGCTAATTACAATTTACAACCAATCCTAAACGGATAGATTTTTAATACCTATCAAAACCGTTCTTCAGAAAAAACACCTGGTATACTAACCCCACAAACCGAAAGTATGCCCAAAGTTATTATAATTTATAGGCCGCAATAAATCAAAGGCAAAATATATTCACAATTACCTGCATGTCGTATGATTATTCCCTGGTTGATGTTTACTACTGAAAATTACCATCACAATCTGTTCCGATACTTTTAAGTTTAAATACCAGTGTTTTGGTGTATGTAGGGTTAACCAAACACCTGGCCATTTGATCGAAGAATAAATTCGTTTAAAATACGCTCCATGGAAATGTTTTCAAATCCAGTGCAACCAAAAAAATACGTTTAATTAAAAAACATTTCACGTAATAAACAACCACTTTCACCGACGACCGATGTAGTACGCCGCGTTAAAACTAGACACTGAAATATGGAAACATCATACACTCCCAGAAGGCCTTGCGATAAGGCGCCATATTAAATTCGGCAAAAACAACGGTCTGCTTGCTGTTGGTGGCGTCACCTAGGACTTATTCCAAAAACTAAAGTGTATTATCGGTTGCCTGACCCCGAAGATTTTAAATTTTAAGGAAACAGCCTTTTACCGAATTGTTCATGTTGCAGTATAACATAAACTGATAATTTTTGTTTTATAGTTTACTTTGCATTTACTTTCAAATAAAGCCAAGATGACTATATTTCCCTGACCACAGAAATACAAAATTAAACGATCTGAACTAAGACGAAACGTCAAATCTTCAGAAATTGCAAGCACGGTGAACCCGAGAGCTTAGAGGCGATTTATTTCGGCCTGTTCAGTTCAACATGGCAGTGACGCCGCTCATCTTCCTAGTAACAAGTTTAACGCGTTTGGAATGAATCAAATAGTTCATTTTGCTTGAATATTCAGTTCTGTTACAAAACGTTCCTAACCTTGTGATTTAAAAACCTAATACATCACCCACCCCTTTTTCTAACTAACCATTCATTATTTATTAGTTGCTGTTTGTTTTTATTAATTATTATTAATTTTTACTAATTGTTAATAACATAACACCATTAATGAAATTTTATACGGGTTGAATTCCCAATATGGAAGCTTCTTAATTCTAGGATTGGAAGGAAAATAACATTATATTATAATCTGGAAAACTTATATTAGGTTAGTGGTTTTTAGATACAACATTACAAAATACAATATACACTAGCCTAATTCAACAACAACAGGAGCTTCATCTTCTTCTTCCAAGTCCAAATTTCCAAAATCCCATTTACAACTATGTTTTAATGATTTTCTTAATCTTTCGGCTTTACATTTCAGTTGATCATCAGCATCAGAGTTGCGAATAAATCTAAAGAGATCTCTTAACTTTGCATAAACAAAATTATTATTCGTCACTATGTCTGCTATAAATTCTTCAGGTACTTCCTTTACTTGCAATTCTACTACATTTAAAAATAAGTCATATATTTTGCGGTATTTAATTAAAGCTCTCTCACAGGAACATAAAAGACTAAATAATTTTTTCCATTGCTCAAATGCCTCCAAACTATGTCCCACTAAGAAACAGATATAACAGAGTTCTAGTTCTCCTAATATATCGGTAGGTCTAGAAAATGCTTACTATTATCACAAAGCAGTCCTAATAAAAAATACTCACTGTAAATAAGTATGGATCATTTTCTCAAGGACATATGTTGAGTCCAAAGAATGTGTAGTAATTTCAGATGGTGATGAACCTTCAGGATAACATTTCTCAGGAAATTGTGTTAACCGCAATTCTGTTCCATCTTTAGGTTGTAAGTAAGGTAATAAATCATCTTCACCATGAGAGTTTCTCAATCTCTTAGATGATGACTCCCCAGTCTCCGATCTACTGCCTCTTGGTCTGTCAGCATCACAACAGTTTTCTAATTCTAATGCAGAACGGACTTCGCCACACAGAGGATTCAGTTTTTTTAATAAATTTTCTAAAAATGAGTAAAGCAATAATTTTACGGTACACAGTTCATTAATTCACCTGTAATATTTGCAGTTAATATTTTCCACCTATCTAGTATATCATAAGGGTATGGCCCTAAGAAACGGTCCAACACTTTTAAATTATCAGTTAATCCAACATCTTTATTGGATACTTCTTCCGTGCTGATACCTTGTGTAATGTTATCCCACTTTTTCACATACACTTCGGACTTCTTAAAAAAGTGAAAAAATCCTGTTCTTGGTGCTGTATCACCTGTATTGCTCACAGAACTGTAAAAAATGTAATGTATACCCGGTGGCACCATTTTAACTCCACGAAATTTCTCTCCAGTATTCCATGATTTTAAATCAATACCAAATTCTGTACCCTCTGGAACATTTAGCAGTACAAAAATCGCCCCATTTTCAAATAACTTTTTGGCAATTTTAGGATCCATTTAAAACTAATATCAAGATTCTTAAAATACGAAGGTTCTTTTTTAACTACAGTTGTGGAAATTACAATTCTTCTTCTTCTTACTGATTCCAATTTTGCAATTTGTTAAGCTTTTTGAAATTACCGCTAGATGCACCGGGTTTAACTGAAAGCAATGTGCGTTCCCAATTATAGTCTCCCATGTTTAACAGCGTATTCATCATCTTAAATAATTTTTCTGTATGAATATCATTTCGCAAGGGTGTTAAAATTTAAAAAAAAATCATTTTCTCAAGACTTCTTTCACATATCACTAATTTCTAATATCAAGGAATACCTTTTTAATGAGATTTTTTTAATTTCTACCGGTGGACTCCGTATTTTAATGTGGTAGATCTTTACTTTTTGGGGAGAATAAGAAAAGTCCTTAAAAAAGTCGGCTTATGGCAGCTGTGCCACTGTATTTTGTAAAGAAGGAACGAACCATTTTTGATTGTGTAATTGTTGCCATACACCACAGATCTTTTGGTTTTAACAATAGAAATCCTAAACTTATCGAATCAAACATCAATTTTTTTCCATGGTTACTTTCGGATTCTATGATCTGTGATTTTGCAATTGAAAACTGTTTGGAGAACACCACAAATGATCGAATGTTCAAATAATCGAATATCCCGAACGACGTTCGGTCCCGTTTGGGAAAGTCTCGCCTCGCGAGGGATCTCGATGTAGCAGGTCAAATGGCAGACTTAGGGATGTTCCGGTCTCATTAAAGTATCGATACCTACTCATTTCGATAGTACTCAAATCTTTTTTCGATACTACTCCTAAAGTATCGATACTTTTAGCACTTTATTATTTTTTTAGTTATTTTAAGGAAACTAACAATGAACGTTGAAGGACAATAATTAAAACACTTTTGGCTCGGGCTCGGCCGAGTGAAGTCTGACGAGTTCGGCTTGGCTGGCGCGAGACAACGCGTCACCATAGATCAGATAGAGATTATATTTGTCTGATGCGTTCGGTTTTGTTTTTCAATGATGAGACTGACTCGATTTGATACCAAGTACTTTTGTTTCGATACCGAGTAAGTATCGCAAGATTGATTCGATGCTATAAATACTTGGTATCGAATCAAAAGTATCGAGTACCTACTCGTATTTACTAGTATCGGAATATCCCTAGGCAGACTTTGCAATTTGACAGTCGATACTAGATAGGTATAATCCGAATACGAATTAGGAAAACGGTGCTTGTTTTAAAGGTACATGACGTACATTGGTTTGCTAAATCGGCACAGGACACATTAATTAATTTTATCGAAGAGTGCTGAAAACCACATCCAAAAGAATATTTTTTATTAACCCGTGAGTATTTTTGTTGTCATTATGGCCCCATATTTATTACAGCCACCGGCTAACATTTATGAATGACAATGTCCACAACAAAATTCATTTTTTAGCAAAATCGGTAGGGTTTACAGCTGATGATGGGAATAAAACTGATTATAAGCTGACTGAATTCACTGTCAATTTATTCTAGTCAGTTCTGAGTGCACCTTGGGATAACACTCATTTATGGGCCCCTACCCCTAGCTTACTTTACAAATAAGATGGGGCATTTCGTATAGCCACATGAGAATCACATAAAAATGTACTTATGGTGATACAAAAATACTTTAAATCTACAGCATCGTGGACCTGGTTTCTGGACCCACGGCTCCAGAGCACCCCAGAAATGTCCCCTAATGGCCCCACCAAATCTTTTGTTGTTGCATTGGTGTAGCAGAATATATTTGTACTGATTGTTCTCTTTTATGATGTAAAACTGTTCAAATGGTTGAAATGAAACAAAAATTATAAGCTCAAGCAGTTTAACAATTATTCTCAAAACATAATTTTTTTCCATCCACATTTCCTTGTATTTGATGTACAATCCAGAGTGCCTTGTCCAAGTAAAAGCCTGTAATAATATTTTACCTTTATACATCTTATTAGGATTTACCAGTATTTGTTTTAATAAATGTCAAATATATTTAAGATTTCAAAAATTACTAAGAAAGGTCATATACCTGTATAACCAAACTAATATCTAGGTAACTTGCTTGCTTCCAGAACTCTAGCCAAGTCTTTCAGTTGTTCAGGTACATTCTATTGCCTCCACCTCTGCCTAGAGGTACATACTGAGTTGAAGGAAGTAAGGCACCTTCGGCATTTCTAAAATTACGTTAACATAATTGAAATTTATTAATACTTACATAATTTCAGTTGTACAGTGTAATGTACTACACATTTCTACACATATTTTTATTACCTAGTCACAAGTCTATGGCATATATTCTTTTGGTCTAGTTTCTTACAGATGCTTGCAACTCCTTGTATTTGGTCCTTCAAGCGTTCATGATTAAGTTGTCCCTTCCTTAAGATGAATACTCTGTTCTCTTCAACTTTTCCTGATGCTTGATATTTTGTTTCTGTGCTTCTGAGATATCTTTGCAATAATTCGAATATACATATATTTATTAACCTTTAATCCTATAAATTGAATAATGTTACAAAATACGACGTTTCTGCACTAAACATGCAAATTGCCTTTTTTGTGAGCTACTATAAAATACTAAATCAAATTTACCTCGTTGTGTTACACCTCCTGGATGAATAATACATAAAGTCGTCGTGAAAATCTATTTGTTAAGGAGTTATGTTCCTGTTCTGCATTATTAGAAAAGTAATAAAATGTTAACTTAGTAAGATAAATCATTTTAAATAAGCTTCAAACTTGATATCCCTATAAAAGTCGCTGGTTCTAACCTAAACATTCTGTCACTCAATCACGTATGTCACGACTCAGCTCTTGGCGGATCGGCTGTTACAAACCAATCTCCCGCCCGAACCCGAACGCCATTCGGGATTTTCTACCATCTCACTGTTTGGAGGCTTGACGGCATTTTTCGTAAAGATGCATTAGGAGTGTGGTTGGGATTTTTAATCAGATTTTTGGTTATATATTATTAGAAGAAATATAGTTATAGTAGCCTTAAAAACACTACGTTCAAAATGCCGCGTATTATGATAAAGGGTGGTGTTTGGCGAAACACAGAGGTAAATGTTAAAAGCAAAGTAGATTAGCGAAAATGTTTCAAAAATGATTTTTTAGGATGAAATTCTTAAAGCTGCTGTTATGAAATATGGCAAAAATCAGTGGTCTCGTATAGCCTCACTTTTACACAGAAAATCGGCCAAGCAATGCAAAGCTCGTTGGTTTGAGTGGCTGGATCCCAGCATAAAAAAGACTGAATGGTCAAGGGAAGAAGATGAAAAATTACTGCACTTAGCTAAACTTATGCCTACCCAGTGGAGAACTATTGCTCCTATAATTGGACGAACGGCAGCTCAGTGTCTGGAGAGATATGAGTATTTGTTGGATCAGGCACAAAAAAAGGAAGAAGGAGAAGATGCTGGGGATGATCCCAGGAAACTTAAACCTGGAGAAATTGATCCCAATCCAGAAACAAAACCTGCTAGACCTGATCCTAAAGACATGGATGAAGACGAATTGGAAATGTTATCTGAAGCTCGGGCACGATTGGCAAACACACAGGGTTAGATAGTGATGTCACACAAAACTTTATTCCCTTTACAGTAGTTCTCAAATTTTAGGTAAAAAAGCTAAAAGGAAGGCCAGAGAAAAACAACTTGAGGAAGCGCGTCGTTTAGCAGCATTGCAAAAACGCAGAGAACTTAGAGCTGCTGGGATTGAGGTCAATCCACGCAAACGTAAGAAGCGAGGGGTGAATTACAACGCAGAAATTCCTTTTGAGAAAAGGCCTGCTATTGGATTTTATGACACTTCAAATGAAGTTTTGGATCCAATGGCACAGGATTTCTCTAAAATGACGCAACAGACTTTGGATGGAGAATTAAGAAGTGAACAGGAGGAGAAAGAAAGGAAGAAAGATAAACAGAAATTAAAACAGAGAAAGGAGAATGATATTCCTCAAGCCATGTTGCAAAATCAGGAACCTGCTAGGAAAAGGTATAAAACATATAGTAAATATGTTATAATAGAAATGCATTAGTATTTTATTTTAGGTCCAAGTTGGTACTACCAGAACCCCAAATTTCTGATAAAGAGCTACATGAGGTGATAAAACTGGGGCGTGCTAGTGAAGTAGCTAAAGAAGTTGCCTCTGAAAGTGGCATAGAAACTACAGATACTTTATTAAATGATTATACAGTTACTCCACAAGCGGCTGCCACTCCCAGAACACCTGCACCGCAAACTGATAGGTGAGATTGTATACAAATCATTCTTGAAAGATGCTTTATTCCTTAATTTCATAGGATTCTGCAAGAAGCTCAAAATGTAATGGCTCTAACACATGTTGACACACCTCTAAAGGGAGGCTTAAATACACCATTACATAACTCTGACTTTAGTGGTGTGACTCCACAAGTTCAAGCTGTTGCCACTCCAAACACTGTATTAGCGACTCCATTTAGATCAGCTAGGAGTGATGGGGGTGCCACCCCAGGGAGTACAGGGTTTATGACGCCCCGCAGTGGAGCTATAGTCCCATTGAGTGGAGGACAACCAGTGAATTTTGCTTCATCTGTTAGGGATAGACTTAACATCAATCCTGCAGAGGTAAGAAAAATATAAAAAAAATTAGTGGTAATTTGAAGAAAAAAGGACTTCCTTGGGCAAATATTATCATTTCAAAATATTTCAGGGAATGGAGGTGGGAGATACACCAGCCCAGCATCGAATATTTCAGTCGTCACTAAAACAACAACTTAAGATAGGTTTGAGTAGCCTTCCACAGCCCAGAAATGATTATGAAATAGTGGTTCCGGAACATGAAGATGAGCATGTACCTGAACAAGCTCAGAATCAACAAATTGAAGATCAGACTGATATAGACAAGAGATATCAGGAGGAAATGAAAATCAAAGCAGCCAGGGAGTTGGCCTTGAGGTCTCAGGTGAGATTTTAGTAGATGTAAGTAGAATGACAGTAACAAATATCTTTAAATGAATATTGTTTGCAGGTTATACAGAGAGAATTTCCTCGTCCTCAAGATATCAACCTTTCAGTTCTAAGGCCAGCAAATGAAAGTTACTCATTAACCGAATTGCAACGGGCAGAGGAACTGATCAAATGTGAAATGGTCACCATGTTGCAATATGACAACTTGAAAAATCCTTTACCGACCCAAGTTAAAAGATCAACTCTATCGCAAGCCCAGCAGTTGGCTTTTTTAGAAGAGCATCCTTACGAAAGCTTCAGGACAGAAGACCTAGAGGTGGCCAAGAAAATGTTGAAGCGAGAAATGGATGTGGTGAAAATGGGTATGAGTCATGGAGAATTGCCAATTGAAGCTTACACTCAAGTATGGGAAGAATGCTTAAGTCAAGTACTGTTTTTGCCCAACCAGAATAGATATACCAGAGCTAACCTTGCTAGCAAGAAGGACAGGTAAATTTATTAGACTTATAAAAATAATAACAATATATTTACCAAAACATTAAATGATATACTTTTTTATGATACTACAAATATAATACAAACAAACCCGCTAAAGAAATAAATTGTCTATAGCACCACGAACAATCAATAATAGAATTAAAATTATCACATCACTAACAAAGTTTATCTTAGGTTCCAGTAGATATAAACAATATAATAATTGAGCCAACAAGATAAAATCAACAGTTAAATGTGTTAAGGAGTGCAAAATATGCACTCCTTAACACACCAAGACAGACATTTTTGGTCAAACGTCGAAGCAAATACAAATTTTTGGTCAGTTTCTGAGCAACAAAATCTATATGGGAGTCCTACTGAAGTTTTGGGTCAATATAGATAGATAGATAGAAAAAACACTCTCTCTGTTTTATCATTATTTAAAACTAATTTATTTGCACTAAACCAGTGTTCAGCCTTTTCCTGTAGGACCCTGGAACTCTCCAACGTGTCTCCTAATTAATTTCCAGAAACAGACACAGAACATAATCAGTTCCATCATATTCCCAAGTCTAGTACAGGTTTCGAATATAATGCAATTTTGTTTTGTACTACTTCTTCCCCATAAACTGGAGTAGCCCTTCTAGGTTTCTCCACCTATATTATTTTTACTACGGTTTTGTTTTATTGATGAAGGCTTGTGAAATAAAAAATGCGTATATTCTAGATTAGAATCTGCAGAAAAACGCTTAGAACAGAATAGGTCTCATATGGCGAAAGAGGCCAAGAGAGCTGCAAAGATGGAGAAAAAATTGAAAATTTTGACTGGAGGCTATCAGTCGCGAGCGCAAGCGCTGATCAAGCAACTTCAGGACCTCTATGAAAATATTGACCAAGCAAACCTAGAATTGAATACCTTTAAGTTCTTGCAAGAACAAGAGAGAGCAGCACTTCCCAAAAGGATTCAGGTAAGATAGAGAAAAAATAGAAATTTTTTCGTGCTCTCAAAAAAAATTTTTTGGTCTACGTAAAATAAGGGTCTCTCGAAGCAACCTCTCAAATAAATTTTGTCTCAGGTTCAGTTGTAAGGAAAAAAAAATAGGCCTCTTGCCTTTTCAAATTTACATGAATTTTGTTTAATTATCTTCTATAATGCAGCAATAAGTTATATTCCAGAATATTTTTCCTAAAAACAAAAACATATTTGCTCTGTAATTATCTCGTAGACAGATCGTCCGCGCCCTTTAACTTTGAGTGATACAAAGCCGCTACTCTGTTCAATTAGGTGGTGTACAAGTTCTTTTTCTGTCTTGTTGACAAGCAAAAATGTGTTAAACTATATTTTTTTCATTCTTTTTTGAATTCCCATAATTTAGTTTTCCAGTATACTGCTACAACTGAAAAAAGACAATATAAACACAATAACAAACCAAAGTGGGGTTAGGCTGCTATTTATTTTTCTTGTAATGAATTGGAAAGTAGCTTTTTTTAAAGTACCTAAAATTTTTGAATAAATAATAAATAAAATACTTACGTTAAAAAGACCTTCACAACATGGCTCTTTAATGAAATAATATTTAGATCCGCGCTTAATGGCTTTTTTTTTTGAAATCCCATAATTTAGTTTTCCATATACTGCTACAACTGAAAAAGGACAATATAAACACAATAACAAACTAAAGTAAGGTTAGGCTGCTATTTATTTTTCTTGTAATGAATTGGAAAGTAGCTTTTTAAAGTACCTAAAATTTTTGAATAAAATAAATAAGATACTTTAAAATGGCCTTCACAAAGGCTCTTTAATGAAATAATATTTAGATTCGCGCCTTATGGCATTTAGCCATATTTTTCGTTGTTTTTTTTTATTAGGATTTTTTTTCCCGGAGGTGAAATGGTTGTAATTTTGCAGGCTGGCACGATGCTATAACGATAAAACATTTTCATCCCAAAAATAATTGAAAACTCATAAAAACATGTTAAACTGATTAGGTTTTTAGTGGGAAATTGTACAGTTCAAATTTGAATTATTACGGCGTCAATATTTTACTTATGATAAAAATATTTAGGCCAAATACTTTTTAAGTCCTATTAAGTATTTTCACTTAATAAAAAAAATATCTGCAAGGACCCTATTATTTTTAATAAAAATAATTAGTAAAATTCCGACTAAGTGATCCGGATGTACAATAACTAACTATTTATTTCCAGTCCCTAACAGAGGACGTGAACCGGCAAATGGAAAGGGAAAAAACATTACAAAAGAAATATGCCGATCTGCATCATCAAATCCGAGAGCTCCAGGATGAGTACAGCAATCTTCAAATCGAAGTAAATAGCTCTAATCAAAGTCACGCAGACGTTGTCCAAGTCGTCCAAATCAATATGAATGGAACCGAGCAAGATGTAACGAGCACAGAGACAGAGGGAAATGACAGTAATGAATAGAGTAACTTTATTTGAAATATTTTTATATTATTTAATGTATGGGTGACAATGTTCAAAACCATGTAAATAATAAAATAACTTTAAAATAGATGTAAAAAAATAGTTTGCAAAACACTAAACGCAATAGCGTCTATCACATTTGTTATGTGTTACCTACTCATAAGAATTGCTTGATAAAATTCACATTCAAAATAGGGTAAAATACTAAAACAAATACTTAGCTATTAATTACAATAAAAATAGAAATATCACATTAATAGGCAGTTTCAATTTTTTCCATTTTTGGTAACACTGTACTCGGCCAATTCTCCCCATGATTTTCCGACCTTGACTTTTACTGTAAAATTTCCAAAATCCCGCGCCGAATTTTCCATGCACGTCTTAACGATTCTAGCGGTTTTTTCAATGTACTTTTCGAGTGTCTCGTAAATTAATTCGTCGTGAAGATGCAGTGTCAGTATCGGTTTGTGCCTAGATTTTTTAAATACTTCACAGATCTTGTGTTCGATGGATATCATGGCATTTTTTACAATGTCCGCCGCAGATCCTTGAATGGTTGTATTGATTGCCTGTCTTTCTGCTTGACCTGGAGTTATAAGTAACTTATTGTTTCAGACTATTACCCTATACTCAAAATGCAAAATACACAAAATAATAACAATATTATTTGTTATAGTTTATCAGATGTAAACATAAATCAGTCATTCGCGTTCTAACAGAAATTTCTTTAGATTTTTTTAAAAGTAAAAATTGATGTTTATGTTTAGGTACTGTTAATGCAATTTTCCTAAAATTTAGATGGTGCACATCAATGGAATTTGTAGAGATAATTCAGTTTTTACATAATGAATTGCTGTTATTTATGTACATACAACAAGTCAATTAAGCAGCTAATATACATTATTATTAACAAAACAAAAATTTTTATTACCGTCGTTGAAAATGTCTAGAGAAAGTTTAAATTTAAAAGATATTGAGCTATGTATATCAAAATAAAAGAATTGTTGTTTGAACACTGCACAGTGACGATATTAGGCTTTTCAATTGCTTCATCAGATAAGCAGGTTAGACAATTTGGAAATTCGAGAGTTTATTGACGAAGTAGCAAAGTAATTTGCAAATAGATAATAGATTGCCCTCAATTTTTAAATTATAAAATAATTGTAAGGCAAAATTTTAATGATAATTTTATTGTAGTTTAGCGAAAAGTTCCACAAATGGATTCAAATTACCGAGACGGCAACAGGGTGTTCACATTTTGAAAAGTTCTCTTTCCCAATTACTCGATATTCAACGTGAATAATCTTGTGTATATCTTGAGAGCCATCATCACACTATATGTATAATAATAAAAAAACACACATTTTTCTACTTCACCAAAATAACTTAATTACAGGTTGGTATATATACTCACTTTTTAAAGATATATCAGATTTATTTATATTCGGTAAATATCTTCGCCGTCCAGTTATTGTCTCTACATAACCGTTCAGTTTGCAATTTTCTATAGTCTTCTGGAAAAAATCTTTAATACCGGGGTAAGCGTTTTTGAAGATTTCTATGAATTTAGATGCCTCATTTTCCAATATATTTAGTTGCTCTGACAAAGCTTTCGCGCCCATTCCATAGAGAATTCCGTAACAGAGCTGCTTAGTGGTTTGCCTCATATTTTCATCGACCTATATAAAAGGCAACATGCTAGCATAACACTGGTAACTAAATACATACAAAATAAATAAATACAAGATGTGTTTGAAACCTTAGAATTGTGTGTTTTGTGTTGTGTTAATTAAAACAACTTAGGTAGGCATTTTGATTTTTTTTTCCAAAAAAAGGAGTTGTCTAATTTAAATCATACATTTCTTTGACCATGCCTCAAAATGTTTTGGTAAATATTTGGTAAACATAGGGTATTTCAGAATTCAAAATCGAGATTTTTGGGGCATATTATTCCACGGTGAAATTAAATAAGACTTTTTATGTAAAATGTGGCTACGAAGGCTGGTGACTGATTCACAAATATCAAAAGTTAAAGATTTTTTACTTTTTTTCTTTACAGCTCCTGCGATTTTGCCTTCCATCAAAGTTCTTTCTGAACAAGTTCTGGACGCCGCCCAAACTGAAAAAAACACTCTCGAAGTGTTAGAACGCATAATGAAGAGGAGGGCATAAAAAATCAAGTTTCATTAGCTTTCTTATTTGGTAGGTTAACTTTTTTTATAATAAATTTCATTTTTATTTTTCAAGAAAATCATGACAAATAATTTTGATACAGCCTTCACAATAATCGAGAAATTCAAAAGGATCGAAAGAGTTTAAGAAGTGAAGACTAAATATAGTATTAATATGTATATTTTACTTGTTTGTATATTTACTTGTTCTTACTTACACGCAATAACGCGTTTTACCACAAACCGAAACTCAATTTTCTTCAGGAGAAGATTAAAACTGTTTTAATCTTCTCCTGAAGATGCCAACCTGGTTGGCGAAACGCGCGTCGAGTACGTAAAATTGAGTTTCAGTTTGTGGTAAAACGCGTTATTGTGTGTTAGTGCAGTGCCGAAGATTCCAGTCAAGAGTTTGTTCTTACTTGTTTTATTTTTGCCTCCAAACCATTAAATTAAATTACTTATTTTCATAAACCAAAGACCAAGTTAATAAAATAATTACTTAATAAAACTTACCATATCTTCTGCCACATTGTTCCACTTGGCAGCAATAGACTTAAAGACGTCACCATCATTTTTCATAATATTTGTCAGGTGCTTGTCGCAGGATAAATAAGTCAATATTCTTAACTCCAATTGACAGTAATCTGCAGATATAAGCGTCCACCCATCTGGGGCTCTAAATGCACTACGGCAACTGATTTTAACATTTTCCTGTGTCAAGGGATTGAGAACCTCAAAATCTTTTGTCACCATTTGCATATTCGGTTCGTGCATGCTTATTCTCCCCGTTGCGGTGTGAGTATGATAACATCCCCTTATTTTGTCATTTTGTACAGCTCGAATTAATGGAAAAATCACCTTTGACAAAGTAAAATTAATTTTTCTCCATTGCAATACCATGTTGGATATTGGGTGTTCACTTTTCTCCAGTACATGCTTTTTTGTACTAATTCTTTTTTCTCTAGACATGCCTACAATAAAAAAACACCTTGCTAATTTAAGGAATCTATACATTGCTTTAAATGGTTACCTATAACTCGGGCCACGTCCGATGGAGATACAAAGTTGAAACGTCTTCCAGCCAAGGAATATGCCTTCTTTTCTATAGCTGCCTGATGAACTTTTAACAAATCTACTAATCTCTGCAAATTAGCTTTCTTAACATTCATGCCACGAGACTCCATTTTGGCCAGACATAACACTGTTTTCATTTCCAACTCTAAAAATATCTCTTTTTGTTCTCATCAAAGCTTATTATCGAGTAAAACGTCATTCAAAAGTCTAAATAATTTTTGTCCCAATTTTAATGAAATAAAAAATCTGTATTTACTACAAATTTTTAAATATCTCAAATATGCTATCAAAAAAATTAATTATGACTCTGTATACCTCTCCTATATCTTCATATACCTCCATATTCCCCTCCTATATCTTCATATATAGGGTATTTTCTAATTGAATGTCAATAATTAAGGTGGCGATTGTTGGTTCCATTTTAAAAAGAAAACTTCATATAAGCAGATATCCTTAACATCTTAACTGTTGGGATACAGGGTGGCAAAGTTTTGAAAAATAAAACATATTTTTTGCATTTTATAAAACTTCTGGATTCCTAATGCGCCGGTTTTTATTGAGTCGAACTAGCTAATGTTTCATCCTGTTGGATTCGTCAGACTGAAATTGGGTCGCATTTTACTCTGTACCTGCTTTTATATTGTTTGAGGGGGGCGGAGCTAAGTGAGGGACAAACACCCTCACTTAGCTCCTGTGGAAGTTTCTTTGAACAATATATTTTTTAATATGTGCAATACCACTTTACATATGAAATTTTTTACATATATGAAATTTAAAAAAATTAAATTAAAAAAAATTAAAAATTTTATTTACGCATATAGCATTTACATTATCATTACAATATAGTTTAACCTAAGAAAAATAGTAACACCAACACTTATACTTGCTAAACTACCAAGTTTTGATTAAAAACAGTCATCTTTACTTTGCAATTAAAACTACTGACAGAGTCAGAAAATATATGCTCGTTATTTGTGAGTAAAAAATTTGTCAGATTGCACATTCGATTCATAGGCGAGTTAATGCCATAGTTGGTCCTATGAAAATCAATATTAAAAAGAGCCTTATTTCATGCATTAATAGGAAAAACCAACAGATGCCAGAAGATCTGGTGAATCCATCAAGTTATTAAACATTTTGTATAATGTAGCGATGTTAAAAAATATGCGCCTACTCTCCAAAGATGTCAGATTCAAAAGCTTCATAATCTCCTCGTAGTTTATATCCTCAAGTGACATTGCCAATTTAAAACCTATCCCTCTAAGGAACTTACGCTGCACACGCTCTATTCTTTCCTTGTGAATTGCATAGTATGGTTGCCAGACACATACATGCATACTCTAAAATTGAACGCACAAGCGCACAGTACAGCTCCCTATACATAAAGATGTTCTCAAAATCCGAAAAACAAACCCAAGCAATCGAATAGCTCTGTTAGTCATAACATCAATGTGATATGTAAATGTGAGCTCCGAATTAAGCCAAACTCCAAGATCTTTAACTAGGTTCTGTCTCTCGAGCGATCCAGAGTTCAAATGTAATCGATGACAGTCAAGAGGTGATGCTATAACCGTAAAAAGCTTTAAATCGTTCGCAAATGCAAGAAATTGGCAAAAGCAAAAAATATTTTTTAGGTCATTAATGAAGATATTGAAAAGGAATGTGGAAAGATGTCCCCCTTGTGGGACACCAGACGTCACAACAGTCTCTAACGAAATGTAATTTTTAACTTTAACTGATTGCTTCCGGTTAGTGATATTGCTGCGAAACCAATTTAGAAGGTCTCCAAAGATTCCCATGCTTGAGAGCTTCCTTACTAGAATGGTCAACCCTGTCGAAGGCCGTGGAGAAGTCAGTATATACAGCATCTGCTTGATACCCATTCTCAAAGACCCCCAACAGTGAACGCTCATAACTCAGGAGGTTCGAAACAGTTGACCTTCCCTTGACAAAACCCTGCTGTTCGTTTATAATAACGTTTTTAAAATGAGGGGTGACATAATCGGAAACTATACCCTCAAAGATTTTAGAAATTTCGAAATTTGGCACACATGTACTATGTATCAAGAGACATTATTTAGGGTACCACATTTTTTTTTAAAATACATTAGTGGCGGACGTACAGAATTTCACTTGTCTATTTTGGCTGACATTGATGGTACGCCACTGACTTTTTTTACAATAAAAATTATTCTTACAATCTCCAGTCATTACTAAAGAAATTTAATTTCTTAATTTTTTCACTCCGATATATGGTTTTCGCTCAAATAAATAAAAACCTCTTCTCTGCATGGTCATAACAATTTCATTAATATGACAGCATGCAGAGAATTGCTATCATTATTATTTCTTACTTAAGTAATTGTCTATTTTATTTCAATTGTATCTCAAAAATTAAGACGTTTAGGAAATATGTTCCATATGAAGTTTACTTTTTAAAATGGACCCAAAAATCGCCCCCACATTCAATTATGTACGTTAGGTATAATGGAATATGGAAGTATATATCAGACATAGTTCAAATGTGGCGACCTGTCCCGCCATAGCTGATGTTTGACCTGCTTATAATTCAAATTAATGACATTAAATCTAAAGGAGACCTGATAAGCCTTTAATATATATGAAGCCAATATGTGCCATTATAAATCACACTTAAACTCACATGAATCCAATTTTCACACTTCAGAATTATTATGAACTTGTACATAATTATCCAAATTCCCTTTCTGAAATTCCATACTATTAAAACGATTATCACTACGTCATCCAATTAGGTCGCCATATGAAACGACATAGTCGGCCGACTGTGCCTATTGACCAGACTTGGCATACCAGACTCACCAACATGGTGTTTGGGCGATTTTTTCATTTTTTCACCGACTTGTTAGGTCTCCTTTGGATAGTAAAATTTCTTAAATCTGCGTCCACACTATTAAACAAACCAATACTAACCATATGTACTTATCAAGCTTGACATTCTTTTAATTTGACAAAGTGGCATCTGGGCCCTCCACTTTTCATTTAATACATTCATCAAGTGCCATGTTGCCACAGTTTCTACTGACGACCTCTTTTTCGCATTAACATCATTATATGTATCAAATCTAAACATTTGAACCAACTCTATTAGTTTTGGAAAATATGTTGCCACCTTTAAAAAGAAAATCACTTCGAGCAATTTCATTACACTAACTATTCAACTTGCCATGGTTTTTAGATTCTTCTCTTCCCCCTCTGGATCCAATAGCCAATCAATTACTTTTGGATCTTCAATTTTGCAAGATATGTCGACATCCCAGCATATGCATAAAAATTTAATTTGCTCTTTAGCATTTATCATCCTCACTGTAGTATTTTTATCTCTAAAAACATCCTTTAAGATATTCATAATCTTTTCTCCGTGTATTGCATTATCCACAGATGCATAGTAAGCAACATTATCGCCCCATGAAAATGAAACCCCACCAATTTTCTTTCCTCGACAAATAAATTTGTCTTTTTTGCTGAAATTTTTTGTAGCTTGAACGATATTGCTTCCAATAACTTGTTCTTGTTCCTCACCAGATTCGCAAGCCAATGAAAGTGCAAAGCAAGTTTGGTCTTTCAATTCTTGAAGAAATGCATTGAATAAAGTTTCATTCATAGCCACACACACTACTTCGATTTTCGAGAAATCTGCATTTGTCTCGATAGTGGCATCATGTAAAGAAAGTCTGGAAAAACGCTTAAAAGCTGTGTTATATGGGCTTTTCTCAATTGAACATTTCATCTTCTTGGTAGGAGTAGCTTCAAGAACAGACTCATCTGAATCGAAAGTTTCTCTTTGCCGTTTATTCTCAGAGCAAAGGTTTGTCTCGAGAGAGTCGTCACTTAATTGTAACGAAAAACTGGCCTCAAACTGGCTGTCATTATTTTTTGCACTTGCATTTGATGATGAAGACTTCGATATGTTTAATTCCAGAATAGAATCAGAAATTGGACTACCTGATATGTCTTTTAGCAATCTAGCGTTATCTGGGCTTACATTTTCTTCAATTCGAGTAAAACTTATATCAGCAAACATACTTTCTGAATCAGAGATGTACAGCCTAGAGGAAGTATTTGGTTTTGGTGAATCGCCATGTACAATATCATTTTCGTGTGATTTATTATTACCATCTTGAAAGGTTTTTGGACTAAAGACTTTTTGGTTTGTTTTAAATATATCTTCTGACTCTTCTATATTTTGCTCATCCTTGAAAGAATATAGAAAAAGAATATAATAGAATATAAAAGAAGAACCGTCATTCACAAAATGCTTACAAACTTGCAGTCGCCGTAAATAAAAACTAATTAATGGGAACCAGTTGCTTGTGGCAATGGAATAACTTTTACATAAATTGGTTCTAGCTAATTACATAATATTTTTAAAAATATCACTGCTTCTACATTAGAATTTTTGACCTGTATTAAGGATGATGGATACTTAATTTTAACAAACACGTTAATAGGGCAAAAACCTTTGTTGCATTTTAGAAAATTTATTTAATAATTTAAGAGCACATCATGTAATTCAAAATGTCAGAAATTCTAAGGCAGTATCACAGAAAATGCAGAGCATATAAATAAAATGTCCGGTCTCCTTGGATATATATTAATGTATCTAAATTTATTGAATAATGATTAAACAAATAATTTCCAGGATTGTTTAAGCACTTACTTTTTTTCCAGAACTATTTACTGTTTCTTTCTTTTCATTTGAAGTCGTGGTTTCTGGTTTCTTTTCAACCCCATGATTGCCATCAAACTCTTCTGATGTGTCTTGGTTGCTGCAATGCTAAATGAATATTGTTATGATTATCTAAATAAATAATAAACGGTAACTCACCATTCCTCCGTAATTTTTGTCCATTGCGGTTTCGGCCTTATTCATATTACCATTGTTCCACTTTGCCTCAGCCAAGCCCATTTCAATTGTCAAATAACTTCTAGCCTCATTTATAAGTAATTCTGCTGCTTCCCTTTCAGTTAATCCTTCTCTTCCTGAAATCCAGACCTTTCGGCACTTATTTCGCTCTTTACTTTCAAAATTTGTCTGTGCATCTCTCTCCCGAGCACTTTCAAAAGGACCTGCTTTGTAGAGAGTATCTTCAATGGCAGTCACATCAGAATTTGCAAGCTGTATCATGGTTTCTATTCCAGCATCATACAATATTCGGGCTAGTTTTCCATTTAGGGAAGATAAATGCATTAGATCTAGCAAATCACGACTCACACCAAAATGCATGCGATCTTGGAACTGGGACAATAAAATTTCCACACTGCCCCAGGCAAGTTGCCTTGTAAAAGATGTCACCATACCAGCAAATGAAGACGCTGACTGCTGCAAGGCTTGCAGCATACCTCTGTTGCAGTTAAACTTAGAACAGACTTCATTTAAAGGTTTTTCATTCACCAAGTCTTGTAATGCCAAGGATACAAAAAATCGCTTATGAATCATAAGTCTTTGATAGGACTTTGATGAGTTGCTTTCAATTTTTCCTCTAGTAGCATTCACTAAATAGGATTCTCTTACACCAACTAACTCTCCTACCCTTTTCATACTACTTGGTAGTTTGTCCCACAATTCCAGATAAAACATCCAATCAATATCACCCCAAGAATAACAAGCACTATAAGGAGTTACCAAATAAATTAAGTGAAGTTCTGTTTCTAAAACAAAACATTGCCTAGCTTTCTCTAGGTCTGTAAGCAATGTCAGTCCTTCATCTGGTGCTATAGAAGATGCCAAACATGCTTTACCCAGAGAAGTGGCTATATATTTTTCTTGTCCATCAATTGATTTTTGTAACCTAATAAATTCATTTGTCATTAAAAAGTTAATACTTTCGTGTATGGGATTTCCAAGCTGCTTCTTATCCTGAACTTCAGTAACTGCAAGCAAGGTGCACTGTGTAAATAGCTGGACATCTCCAGGGGTGGATGCCACTCCGCTAGCAATTACTTCTAAAAGTGCCCTTTTAAGTTTCCCATCACCTTCTAAGCAACTCTCGATTGGCGGTAATTGACTAGTCATTAACAATTTTACTACTTGATAGTCATTTTTCTGACAGACTAGAAAACTTTCCCCAATGGTGTCTTTTCCCAACCTTCCAGCCCTTCCAATCATCTGCTGATAGGTCAACAAATCTATTGGTTTCCCATGGAAGTTTGGTGTACGAATTATTACTCGACGGGCAGGTAAATTAACTCCAGATGATAATGTTGATGTGGCTATTAACACCCTTACTGCTCCATTGCGAAAAGCACTTTCTATAATATCTCTTTCATCCATTGTCAGACCAGCATGATGATAGCACACTCCATATGAAATTATTTTCTTTAAAACAAGATCCAAGCCAACAGGAGAGTATTTGAGCTGCTCTAATACCTCTAAAATCAAATTACTCTTAATTTGATATCTCAAAAGCTCACCTAACAAATTTTGTGAGTTTCCTATTTTATAAAATGCTGAGGCAATTTGATTTGCCAAATTTTCACACCAATTTTTTGTAGGGCAAAATATCAAAACAGAGCAGTTATCTTTTATAGTTTCTAAACAGAGTTGTAGGATACCATCAGTATCTGTGCCTAACTCTGGCTGTACTGAAAGTTTACCAAGAAGCTTTAGATTTTTATCGTAAATATCTCCATTCATTATTACTTGTTCAAATAGTGGTATTGGTCTAAAATTAGTACAATACAATTCAGCTCCCAACCATCTTGCTAAGTAATCCAAATTAGGCAAAGTGGCAGACATGCCAACAATTTGTATTTGAACACTGTCATCTTTTACAGAAATATATCTTAATTTTGTCAGTAACAATTCCAAAAGGTATCCTCGATGGGGGTCACCAAGAAGATGTAATTCATCCACAAGAACTGCTCCAATATCAGACAATTTTCCTTCTTCTAATAACTTGTTTATAAGGCTATTAGCTTTTTCAATAGTACATATGGCTAATTGAATAGAAGTAAAACCTCCTGGCGGATTGTAAGAGCCCATAAATCCTTCAGCTCTAATTCCACTAGTACCTAAAATATCTTGAAAGTAAAACATCTTTTCTCGTACAATAGAAACAAAAGGTAATACAAAAATTACTTTTTTATTTCTCTCAAATATAGTTTTTAGGGCCAAAATTTCAGCTACCAAAGTTTTTCCAGCTGACGTTGGTGCAGAATATATTAAATTAGATAAATCATTGATCACTTTGGGATTACTTAAACATTCTACTTGCCAAGAGAACATTGAAGTAATTTTTCGAGATTCGTACTTCTCAAGCACTGCTTGAGGGAGACCCCAGTTGAGGAGGCTGTACTTTTTGTCACCTGTTTTCTTAAATACCTTTGGGCTTGTAGATTTTGTTTTTCTATTTTTATTCTGTTCAGTCTCATAGTCAACATCTTTGGGTTGTGTTTTTTTTCTAAATGTAATTTTGCTAGGACACTGTTTTAATGTTACACTGTTATTTATTTCTTTTGAAAATATGTTTTTTATATTGTCATTATAATTTATTCCATCCTTCAGCACAGTGCTTCCCGAATGGATAATTGTTTCCACATTTTTTTTCTCTATGTTATTAATTTGGTTGACGTTGTTTAGAGTTACGGAGTTTTTATTCTCTTTTAGAATCCCACTGAAGTCAAAAGAGAGATTATTTAGAAAAGCCGAGTCGTCCAAACAAATTAGTTCTTCTTTTATTACATTTTCTTTGCATAGTCGATTCCTCTTTGGTTCCGTAAATGTAAAATTATCTAAAGTGTCGTTCATTTTCATAAACAAATCATCTTGTATCATACTACCCTGCCGCCAAAGCTAATCAATACAGAATACCAAATACGAAGGTTAGTATCTAATCAACGTCTAATAGTGCTGGAATAGTAGCTATAATGAAAGTCAAATACGTAGATCGGAACCAGAAATATAGTTGTCGAGGCTACGATATGGTGGCGTTGTTAAAAAATTACCATGGAATAAAAAAATGTTTTTCTACTGATTTAACAATTTAACGCTTTTTTCTCCCGTTTTAGATCTATCTTGAATATTAATTTACTTAGGGATTTAGAGGGATTACAGAACCTCTAATATTACGCGTAAAGGGGTTAGTTTCGTGAATTAAATGGACGGGGGTGGTTAAAAATTTTCTTCCTTATCTTCTTTCAAATAGTTGAAATATTTATTGGGACAACCTTTAAAGAACATATGTTTATCGGTTTCTGTTACTGTTTTGTTTGTTTTCAACACAAGCTTTGGTCTGTTTCGGTTGAGGTTTTAACAAAAATAACTAAAGAATTAAGTATATTGAAAGGGAAGCCATACCCATACTAAGTTTTTGTTTGGAACAGGTATAAGATGATGTTGGATACTAGTTATAGTTAGTCGGAGTCCAGATTTTCCACTACGCAACAGAAATAAATGGAATATTAAGTATCTGGCTCTGTTTAAACATTATTTTCACCACCCTTATGAAATTTTAATTTTTTGTAATAAAAGTGTGGGATATTAGAATATTCTTGCAAATTTCCAGAGTGTTCTAATATATAATTTTTCTCCGTTCATTAAACTTTTTCATACGTTTCCCATGTCCAACAATAATTTATATTGAAAATGGAAAAGTATTTGCAACACCGAAAATCATAATTTTTATATTTGTGGAAATTATTTTTTCTCAAAGATATCGATTTTCATTCAGGTCAATGTAGATTGTGACTGGGTGCGTTTCCCATTCATAACAAATTTAAACAGACAGTGAAATAGTAGTTCCAACATGTTGAAAACATTCTGATATGTCAGATCTTATTTTTTTTAATTTTCAAAACTCAAATATTGATTCATCAAATTTTTTGTAAATGAAGTAAATATTTCCAATTTCAATTTTCTTTACGGAAATGATTATAACGATAATGTAGATCTAAGGGGATATTGTCAAAGTGTCCCTTAAAGCGGAAAAATTTAACAGAAACCAAAGAAAAAATGTATGGTGTTCATAGAAATATCTATTCCCAGTTTTTAAATTAAAACCTTTTAATGATTTAAGTTATTATGCCCAATTTCTTTTTTTTTTAATACTTTAGAAGATGTTATCTCCTTTAAGTTTGATTTTTTGGCATATTTAGTTTGTGTAGAAATAATATTTTATTTTCATAACATTCTACGTTGAATATATATTTTTGTAGCTATAACCAATGTAATCTTTTTTCTGATAATTATCTTTATATTGTAAATATATTACCATTATGATTTATTACTAATTCTGCGGTTTACTTTTTCTTCTCGTTTTTATGCCATCAGGCTGTGATTTATTGTAAGAGGCAATCCATTGCATAGTAATGGCGCAGTGTCTGACGTAGTACGGCGCCAAATTCAAACATTTATTGCATTACGAAAATAACCTAACAAAAAGCTAAACTACAAACAATGCGCAAACATGTTGAAATGACCGGAAAACTGCCAGTTGAGTAGAGCTACTTGAACGGAGATGTATATTTATGGAGCAAAGACTATTCCATTCTCTTATTCCAGAAAATGGCGCGATCTTTAACTGTCATTGCTCTTGATTCGTGTAAAAATATGGAATTTTCAGCTGATATAAGACCTTGCGACTTGTGTAAAGTCTTTTAAACTTCTGCACAAATGCATGAAAAGCAAATTTCTTTTACAGTTTTTTTCGGATTTATTGCAGATTATACTAATCAAATCAAAATAAAAAAACTAGGTATATAGCATTCTGGAAAAGGTTAGAAAAACGATTGTTGAAGTACCAATCTTATTTCATAATTGAAATTGCGTTGAGTTAAAAATAAACAGATTCACATTGAACTTGAACTTTTAACTTAATGAACTTCTAATAACATCGGCCACAACATTTAGCATTTACTAACACAAATTGGAAAATCGGAAAAAAATATTAAGGCTAAAACTGAATCACCATGAATAATTTTTAAAGTCCATTAACTTAAAAAAAAATCGCGTTTTTTGTCAAAAATCGATTGCGAATAGGGCTATGGATACATGTGCTACATATAATATTAAACAAACGGCTATTAGCAATTAATTAGTTGCACACTGCACTCTCTGGCCAGGACCATGCATTTCATCATCCTCTTCATATACATTTTTGTAACGTTTTCTAGCCTCTTGCTCAGGATCAAACTCCTCCAAAATACACTCTTCAGCATCATCAGGAATCATGATTTCTTCTCTCGGTGGCAAGCAGTTTTCTAGTTGTGGGACAAGTTCCGGAGGAATGGCTTTTGGAAACTGTACCCAGAACTGAACAATAAGACGCCCCTTCTCAAATGGATTCTTATAACGAGGCATTCCTTCATTTTGGATACATTTCACATCCCCATGTTTAACAACTTCTCCAGGTAACTGGGTGATAACTAAATCTCTATCATCTAAAGTTCTTATTACCTTCTGGAAACCACAAAGTGCTTCAACAAGTTGAATATCAAGGCGTAGGATCAAGTCACTTCCATTTCTTTTGTAGACAGGGTGTTCTTTCTCATCCAACACTATTATTATGTCCCCTGGTTCCAATTCAGGTTCCTGATCACCCTCTCCGTTGAACACAATTTTTTGGCCATCAACCATGCCTTTGTCGATATGAACTTCCAGGATTTTACGATCACGAATAACCTTTTTACCTTGACACTGTTTGCAACGGTCTTTTGGATTGATTCGATCTCCCTGACCTCTGCAGTCCGAGCAAACTGTTTGGATATGTTGAAGCATACCAGGAGCTAACTGTTGCACTTGAACCTGCATACCAGTACCACCACATGTGGGACACTTTTCAACAGCCCCCTTTTTACCACCCCTTCCCTCGCATTTATCACAGACCACATTCTTTTGTAATGCTAATTTCCTAAGTGCACCCTTATACAATTCTTCTAGAGAAACTGTCAGCTGGTGAACAACATCTTTGCCCTTTCTTTCTCTTCTTCTGCTTCGTCCGCCACCGAAACCACTACCGCCAAAGAACATATCAAATATATCCATTGGACTGGAGAAATCTCTACCAAGGCCTCCCTCTTTAAGAGCTTGCTCGCCACCTTTGTCATAAATAGCTTTTTTCTCAGGGTCAGAAAGTACTTCATAGGCCTGAGATATTTGTTTGAATTTCTCACCTTCATTGGGATTTTTGTCAGGATGATACTTTAGAGCTAGCTTTCTATACGCTTTTTTTAAATCCTCCTGAGAACATCCTGGTTTAACACCTAGGATGTCGTAAAACTTCGTCTCTTTTACCATTTTTGTTGAGTCCTGCTTATCAAACATCACCAATTAGAAATGTTTTAGCAAAAAAAATGTTGTCTTACCTGAGGTAAATCAATATCTGGTGTGCTTAAATAACATAAACCACGAACTAGCGCACCTAACACTTAGGTTTAGACTAATGAATGAAAGTGTCCAATCTCAATTGCTTCGAAATTCTAGAAATTTCCCGAGCGAAAAAGTTGTCTGGCGACAATGACAGACAGACCTTGACAGAACGTTGCCAAATCCAAAGCGAAGTAAAATGGAGTAGTCGACTGAACTGACAATGAATCGAACTACTGTTTTAACCGCTTTTCTTATCATTAAATGAACCGAAATCGAAAAAAGGTGACCGCTCAGCTTAGGATGAATAAAAAAATTCTGGATTATAAAAATTAATAGAGAAAGATCCGACAACCTGGCACCGAATCGGGCGTCACAAAATCGATTGCACACATAGTTGCCAAGAATGGCGAAAACACCGCGGTAATAGCATCCTCACATATATATTACCTTTTCTATGAGTTATCAAAAATATATTTCTTGTTTATTTAAAAAGAAAAGAATTCACGGCTCAAATCCATTTGCTAAACGCAGTTGCAAAAAAATAAAAATATATAATTATTGATAATACTTGACAATATTGCAGCGTTTCAGAGACTATTTGGTTGGGTGAGTTTATTCGCACTTCTTACATTTTCGGGTAACCGGTTTCATGTGTTGTTTTTATTTTATAAATTGCTGTTACATGCTCGAAACTACTAAATTCGACAATTAAATTTTAGCCGAATAAGATATAAGAATTCTATGGATCTCCGATTCTAAACTAAATTTTGTTTTGTACACATATTTATTGTGGTATACTTACCTAAAGATTATATATGACTTAAATTTGTATATTTTTGCCAAGTTGTTTTCTCTATGGTTAATACTATGTACGTATTCTGTGACGATGAGTGGTAAAAAAAAGGGATTTAATAAAATTTGTTTTTCCAAAATAGCTCAGAGTTTATCTAATCGAAAAAATCTGATTTTTGACCTTCATTATTTCTCCTTTCGCGTCTTATATTTGGTTAGCATAAATTGATTTACTTCCTTCAATGTTTGTTGTTTCAAGAAATTGCTCTAGTTTGGTAGGCAAATTATATTCAAAATTTACGTTCGCGAGAATATTATCCACATCACTACTAAATATGGGTGATATGCAAAATAAATTTAAATTGCCAAAGCGTTATGAAGGAAGTGAAAAAAGTGTTTGGCAAGTGTATTTTGTATCTTTTACTCAAAATTATTAAGTGTAGGATTTTAGGGTTGAGTATATTCAGTTGGCTTTGGATTATAAACCTCTAAATTTGGGACAAGGATTTCCCGATTATCCTCCTCCGAAATATGTCACAGATGCATTAATTCAAGTAGCTTCTAATGGCCATATGCATCAATACACAAGAGGTTTTGTAAGTTCGGTTATTGAAGTTATTGCTATTTTGCATAAATCAATGATTTAGGGACATCCAAGGTTGGTTGCCGCTCTTGCCAAACTGTATTCTAAACTGTTAGGCCGTGAACTTAATCCTCAAACTGAAGTTTTAACTACATTAGGAGCCTATGAGGCTTTGTATTCATCAATAACGGGACATGTAGATACTGGAGATGAAGTTATCATTATTGAGCCATTTTTTGATTGCTATGAACCTATGGTTAGGTATGCTGGAGGTGTTCCCAGGTTTATACCATTGCGACCTGTTAGTAATCATCAATGTAATTGTTTAATAAATGGTTTAACTTTAACCCTTTTTTAAAGAAAAACAATGGTCCAGTTCAATCTTCTGCAGACTGGATCTTGGATAAGTATGAACTGGAATCAGTATTTAATTCTAAAACAAAGGCGCTAATCTTAAACACTCCTAATAATCCGCTTGGAAAGGTTTTTACTTACAATGAACTTTCTTATATTGCTGATTTGTGTAAGAAGTGGAATGTGCTCTGTATTTCAGATGAGGTTTATGAATGGATAGTTTATGAACCAAATAAGCATATTCGAATAGGTTGGTAATACATGTACATGTAAATACATGTAAATACATGTACTTTTATTTTTAGCAACTTTGCCAGACATGTGGGAAAGAACAATCACAATTGGGTCAGCTGGTAAAACATTTAGTGTAACTGGTTGGAAATTGGGATGGGCCTACGGACCTGCAAATTTGATGGTGAACCTCCAGATGATCCATCAAAATTCTGTTTATACAGGCAACACACCTATACAGGTTATACTCCACAAGAAATTCAACTAACTAATTCAAACTAAGTCTGTAACTGTAGGAAGCCACCGCTATAGCATTTGAAAAGGAAATAGCGCGTCTTGGATCTGAGGAATGTTATTTCATCTCCATTTCAAAGGAATTGCAGCCAAAACGGGATTTCATGGCAAAATTTTTGCTAGAATCAGGAATGAAACCGGTGGTACCTGAAGGTGGTTATTTTATGATTGCAGACTGGACCCCCCTCGGTAAAAGTTTTTCATTTAAATTTCAGTTTTTGTTTTCATGTTCAGTCTTTGTAGAATCTCAAGTAGATCTTAACTCAGAACAAGATAAATATAAAGACTACAGGTTTACCAAATGGATGACCAAAAAAGTGGGTCTTCAAGGTATACCTCCATCAGCATTTTACGGTTCTGAGCACAAGAAATTGGGAGAAAATTTGGTCAGGTATTGTTTTATTAAGGTAAGTTTAAGTAGGTATGTTTGTGAGAATATAGGTTATTTGATCAATTTTAAGAAATTATGTGGGATTATTTAGTGGGTGGTCACAAAAAGTGGTTATTTTCTATCTATTCCTGAAAAAAGGCAATAAAAATGCTCATGTTAAAAGTTTTCTATAATGCTATAATTTTTTTCCATTAATGGAATTTGCCATGCTATATGATTGACAGTTGACATATGACAGTTCCTCAATTCATCTAATTATAAATGTAGAGTACACCTCTAGATATTCGAAAAAAGCTTTTTCAAACTGAAGGCCCATAGGCATTGGGTTGGCAACCTATCTGATTTATTCAGGAGCTCCCGCTTTTTTACCAAACCGGGTTAGTTAAATAAAGCTCCCACTTTTTGACAAAGAGAAAATCCTTGAATTTTAATTTTGCACTTATTTATTAATGTGTATATAGGTATACCAGATGCTTACACTTTTTGTATAGGTATTTTTTAAACAGGTATGATATTTATGAAACAGCTGCAGCTACTTTCTCCTCTAAAAGACTAACCTCAACTCCCGCTATTCAAATTTTAAAGTTTTTAAAATTTATTATCATAATCAAATAAACTAGTGCCGCCTGTCCTCTAAGGACTTTAATGTTCAAATTCAAAAAATGTGATAACTTGGCGACAAATAATTTTTCGTTCTTGAGCTATCATTCTTATGAATGTTATAATTACATGTATTTATGTATATTTATTTATTTACTCAAAAATAATTTTGTGACGTCATCGCCATTTTTCGTGGGATAATACGGTCTATCTCCATCTTTAATAAAAAGAAAACAGTTTTTTTTAAATAGATCTGTAAAATTCCGGATTCTCGTTTTCTATTAGTGTGTTTGTGATTTCGAGATACTTCTGCCACTATTTTTTGAATTATTTCTTTATAACTATCTTTGTGATAGGCGAAAAAGATTTGAGTGTTTGAAACGTGAGAAACTTCGTTAGTCATGATTAAATTTACTTATTCGAGACTGCCTACGCGTCGAGACCGTAATGTTTGGTAGCAGTGTGGACAAATATGACAATAAGAGTACCCTGTCTGTTGATTGTTTTTAAAATAATTAAGATATTATCATAGATGGATAGTTAATAAAATTTCAAAACCCCAATATATAATATTATAGCATTCACATTTTAAGTTTAGTAATTAACTCCCCGCCACAATAGAAGAAAGGTTTCATTCTCACGAAACCACTTCTAGCATTCTTTTGCTTTCGAATCTCCATCTAGCAATTTACCAATAAAAGATAAATTATTTTCGCATTATTACATTTTATGTAACTAAAACTAAAAAAACGGATCTGCATCTTAAAAGATAGGGGTCCAAAAAGTAGTTCAAAACAAAAAGAAAGTGTTTTACAGGAAAGTCAGCACTGTACATTATTCATGTTTGACAGTGGAATAGCTTATTGTATATGGCATGTATATATGCATTATTTGTAATTAAAGATGTATTTTTTTTAGGAAGACAAAAATCTTCAAGAGGCAGCCAATATACTTCAAAAGTGGAAGTCGGGAAAGAGTTGAATGAATCATAATTTACATACTATACGTACATACATATCTGCGAATATTGCTGTAATATATATTTTATTATGGTGTTTCAGTGATTTGGTTACATATATCGATATTAGGCATATTGTCAGGTACGAAAGTCGCCTCTTAACCATCTTTTTGCATCACGCGAGTCACTTCCGTAAGTTTTGCCATATCTGAAACATATAATAATGACTAAGGTTTTATGCACTTCATTACTGTGGAGAAAATTTGATGGCGTTTGTTACCAACTCATTTTTTCATCAATTTAAAATAATTTCAGTGTCACAGTACCAAATAATAGCAATACTGTGTTACTAAAATTTTGATTTTTTATGTGGGACACTGTGCTCCATTTCATGATCTGGTATCACTTTCTGATTATTTTTGAAAAATATTCTCCCATAATTATCTCTTGCGGTTTTTGGAGATAATAATAAATTTTAGGATTTTGAGTGTTCAGCATTTTGTGTAAAAATCAACAAAGTGTCTCCTGTCAAGGGTCCACTATAATTGGGCAATTGCCTTATGTGTCTCTGGTAGATTTACACTTTTTGAATTAAAACTCGAGGATGTCCAGCATTTTATTTAAAAATGAGTTGCTGGACATTCAAAGCAGGAAAATCAGACGAGCATAGTGATAGTTGTATACCTAAATATTGCTCCTGGTATGTGTCCACTATAGTTGGGCAGCTGCCCTACGTGTCTATGGTAGATTTCCATGGGTTGAATTAAAACTGGGGGATCGGGCCTGTTTATCTCGACCGGGGCCCATTCGTTGCTTAGTCTCTTTCTGTAGTTGGATGTAAAGTCGCAGAGGGCGCTATTAGTCATCGCCTGATGGGTTTTACCGAAGGCCGCATATCCGAACGGTATGTGGCCGGTGAATCCTGTTGCAAACACGGTTAGTTATCCTTAAAACTTCAAAATAAAAGTTAACGTTTTTTGCGTAAAAATGTCTTACGTCTTCCGTATCCCGATGTGTAACGTTGCTCCCGTGCAAAAGATTCGTAAAGCCGGTCGTACATACCAATTTCGATTTGAGAATTGTAATTCCAATACTGACATTGACAAATATATTGATTGTGATATATGTCTATGATATATATATATATATATATATATATATATATATATATATATATATATATATATATATATATATATATATATATATATATATATATATATATATATATATATATATATATATATATATATATATATCTGTGTGTGTGTGTGTGTGTGTGTGCGCGTGTGCGTGCGTGCGTGCGTGCGTGGCTGTGCGTGGGGGGCACCGCCGAAAAAATAGATGAACGAAACAAAAAAAAATTCTCACATATTTTCCATTATATCAGAAGTATATATCTATATTTCTGACACAAAAATAATTCGATAATCACCGTCCATAGAAATCGAACTGGGTGAATGCCAGTAAGCCGATGCGGTTTTTATGGCATTTCTTATTTAAAATATTCAGGTAGGGAATGCAAGAAATTAAAAAAAAAATCATTTGCTACCATAAATATAGTAACCCTTTTTGTTAGTTTTGAAACTCGGGGCGGGACTATTTGCACCAAGGGCCGTTACCTAGTAAGTAGTAAGAATCGAGCGCCAGCGATTGCTTAATTATTTTCGCTCGGTTAATAGTTGAAGACTTTTGAATGCTCAAAAGGGGAAGCAACTTGTTTTCCCAAAAGAATGCCGAACTAAATACTTAAGCCCAAAGGCTTCGATATATAATAGTAGTTAGAAAATGGGACTAATTGCTACAGAGCCTCGCCTCAGACGCTTTCTGCTTGCATTAGTAGAACGCAACGCGAAAATCTTTTACAAATATGAAAATAGCGTATAATAATCTCTTTGTTACAATGGAGGTTTAAACTATAAGTATAGTCGCCGAACAATAAATAAAGACAAGAGGGAGAGTCATTGAGCGCTAAGATCAAACAATTCGAGACTACTTGTAAAATCCCGATTAAGCTAACCAAAACTTAATTATATCTGTTTCGCTTTTATATACAGCAGCGTCATCTCGTTATTGGTGTCGAACTTACGAGTAGACATCTGTAGATATCCCGATTGGCAAAGAAATAAAATATTCGACAAGAAATTAGGTTTTACATTTTTTCCAATCTGATTTCGGCATATCTTTAACATTAACAACGAACATATTGTCTAATGTTGCATTGAGCACATCAATTAAATTGGTAAAGTTCGATGTTCTTTAAATATTATATAAGTCGTCAGAATGCCACAAGCTTTTTAAAGGATAGCGCAAGCGCAATACAACACAAGCGTAAAGCACTTTGTCACACATCTACTACAATTAAATAAACCTGCTCGATGTGCGATATGCTTTACAGCTTGTACACACCGACTGCTAATAACTGTTCTTGAAGTGTGCGGAAAAGTGTTTCAGCAAGCATTATGAAAGCTTTTAGCAATGGGATTAAACATCTGAAGCCAATAACAATAATAATATACGAACCGGATTTTAAATATTTTTCTGGATCAATATTATCAGAAAAGTATGGACTGTGTGAATATCTCGGTGGTGTTATAGGAGGCTCTGTTACTGGAACATGCCTCAATAGTCCTCCACATTCGGGACGCACTTCTAGCAGGGGTAACTTAAAATCACTTTGGGCTAGCTGTAATAAACTTTATTAGGATAACCAGACTTCAATTTCCAGTCAGTTCTAATCACTTCTTTGTCTTCCAACGTTTTTGGATCCCATTTGTTATTATGTAAGTACCCTACTTTCAGAATTTGGTTTAATGCTTTTCGTTTGGTGTTCTGAAGTCGTTCAAAATCAGCGAGAGCTTCTGTTGCCTGCAAGGCGTATCTTTGTCCAAATTGGCCGTGTTCCCTGGGAACGAAACCTTCATAGCCGGGGACCATTGGATGTTTATAAATCGTATCTCCTTGTCTTTCATTAACCGCGTCGATATCTTGACGAGCTGGTCTAACGGTCTTGATAAATTAATTAAAATTATTGTTTTAATTAATAATAAAACAGGTACCTTAAAATCGTCGGCAATTCTATCAGATAACACCAGTTTTTCTGCATGATGAACT